ATGCTCAGCTAATTTACATCCAAGCATCAAATTGCATGCGGAAATTGTAGGTACATGCGCAGGACATGCTGGCATCTACAGAAAGTTTTGTAAGCAGACATCTAAAATTAGTAGAGCGTTTCATGAGCACTCCTCGTCGCCCTATTTTTGTTATTTCCTTGAAATTTTCCTTATATTGAAGGCGTGAGCGTGAAGCGCGCCTAACTACACCCACCGCATGCCTCTTGATGCTTGGAAGGTTTGCACATCGTCTCTTCCCATGGGGATACTGGTAAATTTTCGTATTCATATTAATTAACCTGAATTGATTTTTAACTTATATGCCTTCTCACATATTCGTCATAGCTAAGGCCTACTATGGGGTTATGCTTGCTTTATATTGCTATGAGCTGTGTGCAGTACTGCAGTGTAATGGTCTGATCTTTTGCCGTTCTCATAAAATCAGGCCCATCAACAGATTCTGTTTTAAAATATAAATCCCATAACACTTAATCTTGCTTCACACGGTTGCACTTTGCTGTGCTGTGCTGTGAAGGGATGTGTGTATTTGAAAGGATTAGATTAAATTGTTTTACAGTGGGTGCATGCCCTCTAAGCGCAGCTGAGCATATATAAAGCGCAGCGGTGTGAAGCGAAGTAGCCTTTAAGAGGATGCTGAACCAAACATTTCAGTGTCTATAATAAGTGGCGCACTATCATTTCATGAGTCATCGTATCATTCAAGCTTATTAAGCGTGAATGGGGGATATGATGACGTCAATTTCGTTGCGTGTGCTCGCGCACACCGGCGGCTGCTGACTCATGGAAACATAGTGCGCCTCTTATTATAGACACTGAAATGTTTGGTTCAGCACCCCTTTAATCTCCCATATGCTCCGTGAGTATGAGCGAATACAAAACAAGAGCAAAGTTTTTTCCTACTTGCCCTGCTCGGATGCAAACTGCACCCATGGACGGCTCAGCAAGCAGTAACAGTGATGTTACGCATCGAGCAACACATAACGACACTCTTCGCCCTAGAGTGACTGTATCTGATCGCTCCGGTTGCGGGGCAGGCTTTCGCAATGACCTGCCACTTACTGTCCAGAGTATTGTGGGGTAAAATCGGGTAATAAGCGAAGCGCCAATATCATTATATCTGTTGCACAGTGTACATTACTACATGCCACATATTTGAAACAAAATACGAGGGGGTGAAGCCCTCTCTTAGCGCCAAATTTATTAGCGAAGCATAGGCAACTACTCTGAATCTTACCGGAAGCACCTTTTTCAAATATTGCATAACTGTGATATAGTGAACATATCTGAAATAGTTATTCCGCAGCTGTTTTTTCAGATTTTCCAATATACGCATAATTGTGTGTGAGTGTGTGTGTGTGTGGGGGGGGGGGGGGCGGGGGATGTATAAAACAGGAGGCAAATGTCAGAAGCCATGTGCTGGGACTCCCCACTGAGCAGGAGTGAGCAAGCAATGCAACAGGTTGGAGTGTTGTCCTGATCGGCTCATTGAAGCCGTAGCTTCCGGCATGTGCCGAATTAGTTTGAAATATGAAGCTGTAATACTATCCAGTGCTCTAGAATCCAATATCTTCTTCAAAAGAGAAACTTAACATGCTTTCTAATAAGAACTAGTGCTGTCTGAGCAGTCCCTTTAATAAAATAGGGCCCCTACTTTGCCGAGTGACACATAAGGCATATATATTTAAATGCATGCAGCATATAAAATGCCTCGTGCATTTTAAAATGGCATTCACCCCGTTATTGTAGTTCTCTTTGTATTCTCCAGTAAATGATTTTTGACTCAATTTCAGCATTCCGGTGAATTCATTTTGTACAAAAGCAACCACAGTAGTCTGTGGAGAAGGCAGCAAAGGAAAAGAGAGGGAGCGCTCAGGAGCAGTGTAAACAACTGGATATTCTGTGAAATGAGCTGCAAAATAGCACCTATACTTAATGAGCAGCTGAAATATTGTATCAAGAATGGTCCACAATCACTTAGCAATTTTAAAGTCCAGCTTTGTGTAATTAACTTTATAATTCATTTACAATATTGCGAACCTCTCGGCCCATGCAAAAGGAAGAAAAACAATAATAGGTCAAGTATATTACAACCAAGCACTCCGTGCAGGTCAGGCTTGCATAAGCAGGACTGAAGTTGCCAGCACATGCCTGAGATACATCTTTACACGCATCGTTTAACAACATATTTCATTAACCTTGATTTAACATAACTCAGAGCTACAACAAAAAACGCTAAAAAATTACCTAATCATCAAGGTGCATGTGTGGATTGTCAGTAAGCGCGCGCACGTGCTGGCTTCTGGAGCCATACATTTTTACAGCAAAAAAACTAAAACAAGTGGAGCGTTAGGTGAGCGTTCGTCGTCGCATTAGTTTTGCTGTTTACTTCGAATCTTTTCTCTAGGGTGTTTTCCTTGACAATTGAAGGTATTTCCGTCCGCCATGTTGTTGTTATCAGCTGTCTGACGAGTGCCGAAGAGAAGCATTTCGAGGACTCGTTTGACACCATCAAATCCTTAAAGCACAGAAGCTTGCAAGTGTCACTGCACTAACATTGAACAACAAAACTGCAATTTGAAGTCACATGAAAGCAACCTATAAACATTAAGCGGTAACCGGGTAAAAGCTCACCAGGTGAAATACCGTAGCAGGTGAACACAGGATCGCTGTAAAGTTTCACTGTTCAAGCACCATCTAATTTTAGATCAATTAATAATTTGATTGATTTGATTGTTTACTTAGCTAATTTAAACACAGCCTTGCGCAACAAATTAAGCTGAACGAAGTGGCACAGGCGCGGGCTTGCTGTCACACTATTAAAATAATTTATGCGAGCGGCAATTGCTACTCGGGTTACCTAATCTATTTACAATTGCAATTAAAATATATCTATTCACACTGCCACGCATTCGTCTTCGTTGCTGCTCATAAGGTGCTCTTTTTACAATCGTCTTTACTTCCGTTTTCAGTAATGTTTAAGGACCATAAAATAATAGTGAAATCTCAAGATATTTCTGGTCTGACTTTTGGACAACCAGAAACAAAATCGGCCGTAGAATGAAGATCGGTGACAGACATCTTGTACCTCATGAAGCCTTTGTTCAGGTACAATCCTAAAATGGTGAGCATTTGTCCGGTTCCGTGATAAAAGTGCTGAGCTCTTGTACGGTGAGCTCAGCACTTCCGTCCGGGATTCACAGGAGGTGGGCATTTCAAAAACCTTCTTAGCACCCCTTTAACAATTATATTAGGAGAGTTTTGCTATACTTCGTTTCAGCTTCCGTCCGAGCGCAGCCAAAGCTACGTGTGGCCGGAGCCAATCACACGCCGGCAATCCGTCACGCGATCTTGCCTGCACTTTTGTATCACTCCGCTGCGCCGCTGATCGTCCGCGCCGCCCGCCTTCGCCGAGTATTTCGTCTGCTACGGGTGTATCAACGGCCATCGTCTGCTACAGGTTTAAAAAGTGTCCTTTCACGCTCTGAAATTTAGTCCCAGGGAATGTCAGTACGTAGGCTTGCCGCTGGCGTCTCTGTCCGAGCTTTCCTCCTGTCTGGCATTTCGGCATAGTTTCGAGATGCAAGTACACATTGCAAGGTGCAATGGCCCGGCCGTTGATGTTTCCTTGTAATGTCTAGATATACCAGGGCTCGAGGCGCAGTCCTTTCCACCAGCTTTTCAACGTTCAATGTGATCGGCAGGTGTGCCCTGATTTCGCCGCGTATCAATGAATTGTAGTGGCCCGGACGCCTTTCTTGTTTACAATGCATTCGCGGTACGACGCGGCCGGAGTCTCCTGCCGAATTTGAAAGTAGACGCTCATCACGACCGCTCGCGCCTGACGCCCGAACGTGCCTTTGCGAAGGGACGTTCTGAAGCGACTCGGTAAGGAAAGCGGCGAAGCACATGATTCGGCCATGATGGGAACGAAATGACATGGAAGAACCGAGCCAACCGAGCGCTGCAGCCGTGTTGCCAGCGGATGTACGCGTTTTCACCAAACCACGTGCATTTACATATATTAATAAAAACATAAAATTCAGATATTGAATTCCTTTCGTTGCAAATCATTCTCTGCAGTACAGATCTGGAATGTTGTGCATTGTTTACGCACAAAACAGTTATTTTAAAAATATTACTTTTGCGCACTACTTTGTGGTGCGTAGGAATGCTCTTCTCGATGTTGTGAACCGTCCCTCAGCCTTTGGCTGCGCTCGGACGGAAGCTGAAACGAAGTATAGAGCACTCAAGTACATCTTCAAGTCTCAAATTCAAATTCTTTATTCCTATTCAAGCGAAATAAAGAATGCGGCATCTTGTGCGAGATATGCTCCGCTAAGAAATCCAAGACGTCTGCGAATTCACGAGACTCTATCATGATCTCTTAGGTTTTACATGCTGTCCGTTTTTAAGGTTTATAATTCAACTTACGAGGAATATGTTGATGTGGATCAACATTACTCCATAAAGATGCATGACAAGCTCACTCTGACTCTGGAAGAGCCTTTTGCGGTACTTCTCTTGACATCAAGAGCATCTCTGCCCACGACACCACATTCTGCTGTCAGGTATAGTCTTCACTTGCTTTGTTTGATAGGCGCAGCAGGATTAAGAACTTGCACAGTTCTCTGTTAGATTGGAAGCACACAATGCTTACATTATTAGTGAAATGCAATGTTGAACTTGCAGCCGAGGTGGCTGCTTTGCACGAAAAAGTTGAGAAATCTTGGAGCTTAGTCTCCATGGTCAAGAAAAGCAGACGTCGACGCATTATTTAGCTTCAAATATTGATTAAAGCATAAACTATAATTTTGTGATATTAATATGCCCTTGCACAGAATAAAGGTAACACACTATATATGCGCTTGCAAATTTAATGTAAGCATTGTTTTTTTCTATTTCCATGATTTAGCTTGCCAACCCAGTGCACTGGACTTGCAACTGCACGCACTTTGCCAGAGCCCACGATTGACTTGAAGTCTCTAACCAGCTGTGCCACCGTATAATTCGCTGGCTGCACACCGACCCGTGCAAGTATGACCAGTAAGTCCTCTTGTTCGACAATAGATACAAAACCTTTTGGATTTGGCTGACTGTCTTCATTTGCAATACCATTTATGATTCTTCAGGCATCCTGCAAAAAGGGACTTGTATAGTGAAGCGGCCAGACACCTCGTCTTCAAGTATCGGCAGTTGGGAGATCCACCAGGCTGTGGCATTGTAAGTACATTTCCTGTTTACATAAGGAAAGTTGTAATAAAAATTATATTTCGGTTGTGCATATGCTTTCAGGGGTAACTGCACTTCATTTTCTTGGTTGAGGAAACGATTTGGACCTGTTAAGTATCATAGAAGAAGGCCACACGTCAAATATTATTTACGATAGCTGTTGAGTGAAGTGTCAATCGAGTTCCCATTTAAATCTATAAGAAACGAGCCAGCTAATTTTGGTACGAGCCATGTCGCTGAAATATCCTAACTCAATTCTAGCGGACGATGGAGGCACAATCAACAGCGCAGTCCTACTGCGCTATTGGTGCAGCCAACATCAGCCACCACGTCACACCGTAATCCCTGACCAGATCTGTGCCCCCACGAGGCACTTCATTTTATGTTTGGCCCTAAAAAGGAGTATCTGCTTACTTCCAAAATATTCAACAATCTGTAGGGATAACATTGCAATAATTCCTTTTATGCAGGCTACGGCATCAAGACCGCCCAAAGACGAAGGGGGAGCACATCGCCGAGTCTCCGACAGACGCAAAGTTTGTAAAAGATCTTCTCCGTGCAACAGGACCGACAGGGAGCTTTGCAACAGAAGCCTATCGGGGGTTCACTGTCGGCGATTTGTGAAGATGGAGAACGCCAAGGAGCCAAGGAAGGCCCTGACTCCCGAAAAAGTCTGCAGTATTCGTGGTATGTGCGAATGTGCTCAAATCTATCCACATTAAACATGCCAGGCATCAGAACTCGGGAGTGCAATGCTCTTGGTTATGCAAGACATGCTAGCAACCTGCTTGCTTGTTGTATTTCATCATGCTTGCTAAAGTAAGCAAATTAGTTGTGCAAAGTATCGATTGTTTTACAATTTTTTTTATTTCATTTGAAAGATATCAGGGTAAGCAGTTTATTGAAAAATGAGTGGGTGCTTCATCTCTGTGATAAAGCTGAGGTGAACAGAATGTGAGACGGAATATTTTATGCTACTAGTTACATTTTTATTTATCGTTTCTGTTTAAATTTTGTTATCCAAAACTTCAGTAGGAAGCAATATTTAATGAAAATTTCCAAATTCATGTGTAACAATATAACGAGATTTCCTGACTAAATTTAGAGGGCAAGTTGGTTGATTGCTGTACATACGCCCATCTTTGGTTTCTACCTTGTTTGTGATGTTTAAACAGAGGCCTGTCCAGTTGAAGCGTTACGGCCCTCCCTTCCGGCACTTTTAATAATACGGCACGTTCTTAAAATAACAAGGTGTGCAAGCATACCCCATTTACTCGCATATTTAAGTTCGATAATAAGGCACGGCTCTGACGTTATGCCGCTGCTGTCACCAGATTACAGGTGCTTTACCTTACTCGAATCTGGTTTCTGTGCACGTGCAATACCCACGTGTGGTGTGGACAAGCACCGACTTGTTGGCAAACAGCGTGTTGGTCTATATAGCTTGATGTGCTCGCTTTGGAAAATTCTTTTATTTCTCCTCAAACATTTAAAAAATTTTCTGCTGGCTTTGGTACGTTTTGTTCTGCTCAATGTTTTCAGCTGCTTTCTCCACCTTCGTTGGGGATGCCCCGAACAAGAAGCGGCGGATAGACCTAATGAACAAGTATGTGGCCACCTTCCTGCAAGACAAGGCCAACCAATGGAGAAAGCTGGAGGTCAAGTCTGCACTGCAGCTAGCAGCAGAGCAGCCACCAGCTCAGCAGCCGGCTACCCAGCAGCTGGCAACCCAGCAGCCTGCTGAGAGCGGGTAGACTACTACCCAAGGGGGCACGAAGTGTGGGAGTATTTCGGCAAAATTAATGCTTTTTACCGAAGCCATATTTCCCGATGCACTTAAAATTCCCCCTGGCAACCTTCAATAAAGTTATTATGGTATATCTTAATTGGATTATTAAAACATTTAATGCCCCACAACATATAAAATAGCTAGGAATCAACAATGTATCTAGAATGACTGGTGGAGTGGCATACACATGATAAATATAATATGCTTTCCTCTTTTTTCTATGTATACAGTTGAAACACATTTTTTTATTACATGCATGAACTCAATTTTCTATACCACCTTTTGATAAATTCAAAAGACACAATCATCAATAATAAACTTATCCTACATGCAAGGCTTTATGGTGCCCCAAATTTCTTACGCTATGATGCTTCACTTTATTGTTTTCACACAAGATCTTGCAACTTCTCGTTCACGTACAAGATCTTGGTAGTTTCTTGTAGCTGTACAAGATCTCGTATCCATACAAGATCTTGTATCCATACAAGATCTCACATTCATACAAGATCTTGTATCCATACAAGATCTCGTATTTATACAAGATCTTGTATCCATCCAAGATCTCGTAACTTCTTGTATCCATACAAGATCTTGTAAGTTTTTGTATCCAATAACATTGTATGAAAATCTTGTATCGCATCTGAATTTTCAGAAGGGATACAGAGTTCCTCAAGAAAGAGATGAGAAAATCCGCCTAGACAAGAAACCAGGCACTGGTCTCGGATGCCATGAACCGCACATTTAGCAAACGGCGTGAATGGATACTCGAGAAATCCCATACGGTGGATGAGGTTTTGGAAATTCACCCTGCATTGGACCTGAAGGAAGAGATATGACATCCAGAAGCTGTTTCAAAGAATTGTATAAAACTTGCCAGACTGATGCAAGCGTGCTAAGAATGGCTGTTTAAAGTGATGCTGACAGAAATCTGGATTTCCCAAAACAAGGCAATAAAAGTGCCTCGAAGAGGAGCTACAGATACAAAAACATCACTTGTACATACAGCAATATCTCGAAGAGATAGCAACATTTTTTTTTTAAAGAAAGGGCTAGTATGTGGTGTCACAATCCTTGTTGGTACTCTTCATTTCTCCTCCTCTCCATGAAATGTCCTCGGCTGCCCTAGCGCAGGTAGTGCTCGCGGCAAGGAACGGAAGCAGCGGAGATGATGACGTCACGTGCTGGCCTCTTTCATAAAAATATATGGCCATATGGCATCGTGCTCCAACCTTGTTTTGTGAAATCCATATTTTGGTTCATCATCACTTTAAGGCCTCGGAGCTTTCGGAAGGCTGCTGTGTATTGCCTGTACAGAAGTTAAATTGTTTTACAAGTGATCTTTATGCCTAATTTATACAAGTGATCACTTATTTATGAAGACGCTGGCTTGATTATGATGAGCATTCTGTGTTAAGAGTATTTATTATGAATAGGTAAGTAAATATGTACATCAGTAAATCAATGTGAGCAATAATATTGGCAAGAATTAACATACGATCTGTGTCCGCATTTGCAGACACTTATCGAATTTCGCATACTACACTTAATGTGCTCTTACTACATACTAGCATACTATAATTTAAAAACAAAGTACAACATAGAGCATAACCTCCTATCACGCAAAACTTAACATCTACCATATAAAGCATAACGTCCTACCACACAGAGCTTAAGAAACCGCGGACACACAACGTATGCCAATGTTTGGCAATCTTTGCGCACACACTTCTGTGCCCTTCAGGTTTGTCAGCATGACGAAGTCTTTACACACTTTTTACGGGTATTGAGAACCCAATACGCCAACGATTTTTAAATATCAGAATCAGAGCCCGGAATTGAGACCAACAATAAAGCGTTCTTGCTTTCTGGTTGCAGTGGAGCTGCAGCCAGAAAGAATGATCTGTCGCTCGTAAACAGCAGACGCCTTTTGGCCTGGTGGCACTTCATATCTGTTTTGAATTTTTTTCTCAGAATCAGTTGTACTTATTTTGTTTTATTCCTCTCGATAAGTATCACCATTGCTCAAAAGAATGCTGAACCGAAATCTGGATTTCACCAAACAAGGTATACCTTGCTTGGTGAATCTCTAAATTATTATCTCTGAAGAGACGCGCAATTGGGCGAAGCTCACAGCCTGCATTTGGCGTAATGACCCAGGTTCCTCTGATCTTCACTTCACCTCCTTGCTGCACACGCTGCCCGAGCTTGGGCAGCCGAGGGCGCTCCAATGGGGTGAGGTGAAGTGAAGAGAGGAGTTGGAACTCAACCGTGACTTTCTTTTCTAACGATGGTCATCCTTTCGAGATACTGCCGTATGAGTGACGTTTTGGAGTTCTTAGAATCACGCGAAATCCAAGGACCCTTTAAAGTTTCTTATAAGTGGAGGAGGATCTTAGAAATTAGATTGGGGAAAAGGTTGGGGAAATAAGGCTCCTTCTAGATGTACACTAAATCGACTTTAGTTGTGCCAAACCTGACTGCGCTCTTTTCGCAGATCAAATTGACATGGCTAACACCCAATATCATATTTTTCTGAACTGTTAATGAAGCATTGAGGGAGTCTCTGACGACCCGTCAAAATTGGAGAAAGGTATGAGACCCCCCTCCCCCTCTGCAGCCTGCAGTCTTCCTGAATTCTGAGTACCGTCACAAATGTTTACATTGTCCTTCAGTGATAATATAAGTATTAGGAGGACAAATTAATTTATTTTATTGATTGATTGCATACGCACCTGTCACTAATTTGGTTACTTGGTTTCTATATTTTTATGACAGGACTATTGCGGAAAAGCGCAATGTAACTTCGATTTAGTTTGCACGTCCTAACCCAAGTGGCCTAAACTAACCCTCAGTCCTCTGCTGGGGCATGTCAGATGCCCTTCGTTGGTTTGGCACGTAAACCCCAAAATTGTATTTTTGTTTTTATATCTTGCCCGGTTTAGCCCTTCTTTTGAATAAGAAAATGAAAGCTAAGTTGTATGCGGGAATCTAGAACATAAAGCATAGACCCAAGCATTGGTTCTCTGCTTTAAAACATGCAATTATTCCATTTAAAGCTAAAAACGAAAAAAGTCATACCTATGGTCTATTGAGTCACCTAGTTTTAGTGAAAGCTGAGAGCACAGTTAAGCTGGTGGCCTCGAGAGTTATCAGCAGCGTTCGGAAACTTTTTCGCCACAGGCAGGGGGAAATAAGAAAAAGCTGGGGAAAGCTATCGTAACTTGATGAAAAATTTCCATACGAACGTCATATAAGGACCTGATTATGTCTATCCTCAGTTAGGAATGCTAAGAGTGCAGGAACTTGTTCCGATTGGGGAGATAGTCCATCTACTGCATTTGGGCACTTTATTGATTACAGTATGACTGCTGATGATATTTTAGTTGACTATAAAACAAGGTAAACTGTTGTTCTTGCAGCTCTCGTCATAGCATAAAGAGCCTCGAAGCTCTCTTGATGGACTCGACAGCTTTTGTTGTCGAGAAGATACGATATCTTAACGAAGCAGGTTCGTTCAAAAAGATCCTTTTTTTACAATAACAAGCAACCTCCCCCATACCCCGACTCCGTAAAAGTCATGAGGAAGTCCATAACGCCATGCTCTAAGTCGAAAAACACAGATAAGCAATGCTGTTTATTAACAAAGGCTTAACGAATTGTGGTTTCAATATGCACCAAATGGTAAACTGAGGAATGGCAGAAACGGAACCCAGAGTGATTCTTATCTGAAATGTTTTCTTTTTGTTTTTTTTAACGTACAGGAGCTTGTTATTGATGATTCATTCGAGTGTCTTGCTCAGGCAAGCGGTGAGGGCAGTTGAACAGTAGCTAGATGCAAAGGGAGCATCCTTCCCCGTTTTCAAAAGTAGCAACCTTTCATGCCAGTGGGAATCTGCCCTCTTGGTAGACGCGATTGAATAGGTACAGAATAAGGAGTAGTGTAGAAGGATGAAGGTGTGTAAGCATCCTGTAGTGTATAAACCCTTTCATATCAGTAGCCAAGTGACCGGCCTTGAAGGGGCACTGGGGAGCGGCCGCCATAACACGGCTTCAAATTCGTCCAGTTTCGTTATGCACAAGGCAGCCTGTGACAGTGAGTAGGCACAATTTTTCTGTATGGGCCACGCTGCAGCGAAGAAACCGCAGTACCGAGCACACAAGACATGTTCGGTGATCGGTTGCAAGAATAATGAAGGGTTCTGAAGGCGTGAAACACTTCTGTCTGCGATGAACATGGTCCGCTCCTACACACCAACTGCCCTTGCCTGCGCCCCGTACAGGCTGCACTCCTTTTGCAAGGGGACAAAAGAATGGCTAGCCAGCTTTCAACGCAAGGAGCTGAACACCACTAGAAACGCAAGGGCGAGTACTGGTTTAGGTATTTACTTAACTTCTCGCTTATGCCCCGGCGGCACGGTCAGCACGCTGACAGCGGCTGGCCGGCCGCTATGGCGATCGGGATCACAACACAAAGCACGAGGGTGATGGCGAGCTGCCAAAACAGCTTGTGTGTCAATCCTTTGTGGTAGTTGTTTTGTCGGTTGTTTCTGACGTTTCACGCGTGGAACTAGCAGCGCGGAACTCGCTGCGTGAAAGTGATCGAATATTGCTTGGTCTCAGATAACTTGCTTATTTATTTAGGTGTGCTCCATTTACTTCACTGACGGCAGGCCGACGAAAGCTAACCCATACCCTACGATCCATCTCGGCACTGGGATCGTGGCAAGCTTGCTCTGGCGCAGGCCAGAGCAAGCTTGCACCATCGAAGGGCAGCAACCGTAGCAGAGGGTATCGTTCTCCATCCCAGATAGACCCCCCCCGAACACAGTGTGGCAGACACGTCTGGGACGTACCTCCTACTCTTGGCCACCGCTACCATCCTGTGCGCGCCATGCCGCCCAAGACTACTACTCGCAACGCCGATGATGACGATCAGAGCTCGGAAAACGAGTCCGACGCTCCAACTGTGGTTAGAGCGCTCGAATCCCACGCTCAGAGGATTGAAGAACTTGTCCACGCTGATCGTCTCGCCGCCAACCAAACGCTCAAGCGGCTTCTGCAGGACGCACACAGGCAGCAGCAAGAATCACGTGAGATGGCCGACGCCGTCGCAAACGCCGTTGGGAGAGTCCTGGCCCAGGGACTTCATCACCCCGGAGCAGCCCAGGCCGTCCCCCCCCCCCCCCCCCCAGACCGCACAGCCCCCCATCACAAGCTTTGGCGGGCTCCGACTTGGAGGAGGCCCTCCGGACTCCCAGCCCCCGGTCACCGTCCCCCCTCCCACCGACCCCTGGCCGCCTGTGTCGCAATCAGAATTTAACCCCACCCCTGCAACTCACGCGGCCGCAGTCGCCGCCCCGGACCCCCGGCTCCAGCAGCAACAGCCCTTCGGGGTCGCCCCCCCCGACCCCGGAAGGTTTTAT